TAAAGAAGCTATCAAATGAGCTGTGACACATGATCTAATTTATATAACCCTACCGAGTGAAAAGCAGCAGCAATAAAGCTTTCCTCTTTTTTTTTTTTTTATTTGGCATTAACAAAGCCACATGAAAACAGTAGCCACTGCATAACCTGCAATTAGGTACTACATCCCCAAACTACTTGTAACACCTACTTCCTAAAGGTGTGTGAATTACATTTTATTTAGTCATTTTCTGGTGTGAGTGATTTTTTGAAACACAGGTATAAACATTATTTATGGCTGTATTACATTTAGTGAAGCAGAGCAATGCTTTTGTTATCCATTACACCTGTGTTTTGCCTGCTATGACAAGTCAAAATGTCTACTGTGAAAAGGGTCACTTGGAAAACCTCCATTTAGCAGCTAATTTGAGTTACAGAAGCTGATACAGGCTGTTTACACAGAAGACATTTTGACACGTCACACTTGAAGCACAGGTGTAAATGATGGCTGGATTCCATTTAGAGGATTCAGCTTTAGGGTTCTGATGTGCATGCTGGCTCACTGTCACACTGTCATGGTTTACTGGGACAATTTTATCAAACAGAGCAATCAATGATGTTATTAGTAACACCTGTGCTTTTCCTACTATGACACTTCAAAATATTCAATAAAGAACTTTTCAGCTTAACTACACTTAGCCTACACTTATTGTGAAACATAATTAAGTGTTTTATTCTTATCTGAACCTTCATGTATTTGAGAACAAAACATGAAAACTGAATAATATGGGAGCATTGTACTCCAATTCATAAAAGGTTTAATAGGAAGTGTCCAGGGTCAGTGAAAGTATCTTGTAATAGTTTGGGGGTCTGTGCACCAGGCCATTACCAGGGGCTTGAAGGTCAGAGCGCTCTGCCAGCGTTAAAAGCTATGCGGTCATTTCTGCCCTGCTAATAGAATTAGCAGGCCATCTGTTTTCGTGCGGTGTGCCAGCCTGGAACCCCTGCTAATTATGTTATAATATCCCGTTCAACGGCAGTCGTCTTTTTAATATTCCCCCAGCAAACACTCCGGGGGCAGGCTTCAATAAAAGCAGGTGGCTGGAGACAGAGATGCAGAAACACAAACCCACATGCTCTGTTCTAATGAAATAACACTGTAGCTGAAAGTGTATATCTTACCCGAACTGGGAAATATGTTCAGAGGCTGAGCCATGTTGCCAGGCGACTGCTGCCTGGAATGGCGTGCGTGTCTGTGGTGACAGACAGATGGAGGGAGGAAGGACGTGGTGAAGCCAAGAGGCTGGAATTACAGTCTCTGTAAGTCTGTGTGTGTGTGTGCGCGTGTGTTTGTTTGTTTGTTTGGAAGAGATCGTTGTTGTTGTTTGGCTGTCGTCACTGTGACTAAGATAGCAGTGTTTGTAGTGTCGCACTTTAGCACATCAGGGGAGGTGTGCAACACCATTTAATAATCTGGCCAGGTCCTCTCCTAAGTAAAATGCTATTACTGCTCTCTGCACAGCAAACATTGTTTACAACCTGTCTGCTATTACAGTTTAATTATTGGGATATTCTGGGCTGCCAGCATGGCCTTTCTTGTTTGCACTGTTGGTGGTTTGTAATCTGGCTTTTTCAGTTTTCCTTTACAAGGCCTGGCTTTGTTTTGCTATTGTTTCCTCTGCGTGCCCTTGTGTTTGCAGATTGACCTTGCTCCAGACAAGGTGAGACAGAGACTCACCCGAGCGCTCACAGTGTGCCTCATTAAATTAGAGTACTGTCAGAAGGGAGTTGAAATAATGCCGCTACGCAGATTGTCTGTCCCTCTTTGTCATCTGAATGAGACCTGTATATTTTCCTCTCCTCTCTCACAGATGTAACTACTGATGCTGTTCACGGGGGACGTCACACTTTCACTCCTCAGCGTGACTCTGCTTATGAATGTCTCAGCAGTCTGCCCGGCATTCCTGACACTCATCTTACAGGTGGATGCTCTTGTCATTTTTTCATTTCATCATGCAACCATCTGGGTCTGGGAGAGACTTCTGAGGAGACACAATACACATGTTAAATTAAATTTAGGATGTACACAAGATTCAATATTGAACATGTAAACGGGTTTGCAACTGGAAATGCGCATGCTTACATACAGAGGCAAACACTCAACAATTACAGTATAATGTTACAGCTATCAAAAAAAGTGAGTGCTTTCTGAAATACTCTCTCCAAAGCATTGCCCATACATGATGATGATGAAAAAAAAGAACAAAACACACATTGCAAACTAACGCTCTAGTTTTGTGTGTGGCAGTATCAACCTAATAAACCACAGCCTGTTATATTTTATCAAAACTATTTCCACTCTGCTTGTTTTTGACCTTTCTTATAGGCTGGATGAAACTACCTGCTACATCTAAATAATTAGTTTTTGTTCTGTTATTCACATGCAGTAAAATCATCATGATACAGGGTTAGTTAAAAGGAGGATGAATAGAAGTGACATGCACCCTCCTTGCTAACTCTAAATCTTAAGGAATTGCGTTGAGAGGATAGAGGCATTTTATCTCCTCAAACATCCCTCTTGTTAAATGTGAACAAATTGGCCGCTGATGAACATGTCAGGAAACTGGCCACTGCATGGGCCTACTGTTGCTGCTCCACAATGACTCTACAAGAACAGAGAGATAAGGAAAAGAGAAAAGGGAGAATTAATATCCTTTTGAAACTGACAGCGGATGTGCCACATTACTATGCTGCTGCCGTATCTTTGTTTCTGACCAGTTGTGTTGATTGGGATTTCTCCCCCGAGGTAAAAGACCCACTGACAGGATTCAAGGCTTTAGCCTATCGTCAGACGCCTGTCTGTAATTTGTGATTACAGCACAAGCAGAAGGGGTGGCAGGGATTAATTCAATCCAACACACAAATCTGATTCCCCACATTTGCATATTAATGAGAAAAATGTTGAGTGTTTTTGGCAGGTGGCAAAACAAAAAATGGTTAAAACTTTAAAATTTTGATATTTACTGCTCTTGTGTCTGGCGAGTTGAGGTCACTGTCTGGTTTTGCATGTATTTGCATATATTTACATCAAAATGATGTGATATACTTGTAGATATTCCAGTGGCTTTGTGTCTCGTGTCTTTCCCTTCTGCTGTCTCCTTTTCAAATATTACAGTTTGTACATATGTGTGAGATTCCTGAGCAGAGCGGTTATAGAAGCCTGGTGTATGTTTCATAAAAGCTGTTTCAGCTGACCCTGGCCAAAGAAACTGAGACAGTCTCCCTACTCATTTGATTAAAGTTTCTTAGTTAACCTCAAAAGAATAACTATAAATGATTAATAAAGCTGGTAGTTTATAATAGTATTGCCTTCTTAGATGCTGGCCTTCTGAGATGTGGTCATTTGAGTAAAGTTGGTATCTAACTAAACATGATCTAGCTTTGCAGTGGAGTCTGCTCCTTCTTGAGTGTGGGTTACATGTGTAGTTTTGTCACTTTAACTGCATAAACCCGACAGAAAACAACAGTATGGTGGAAGATGTATTCAGATTACCAGTGTTACATTGATGATACATTAAGTTAGCTCATGAAGTAAAAAAGTAATGGAGAAGATATAGAGACAAAGAATGCATGATACAAATAATTATGTATTTTCTTTGCTGAGCCCTTTTATTTTTCATGTCAGAGATTATTATTTTAGCTACTTACCACAGCAGCTATGTTTATCTGGCACTTAAGAAGCATCAGTATTATCGCTACGAATCCCTGCAGTTGAATACCCCTTTGACAATTTATTTATTTGATAAACTGTTGATAGGACATTTTTTGAGGTTTCCTAATAATATGGTTTTAATTAGGGATGCACTGATTGTAATATAGCTGATGCCAATGTTTTTTTTGTTAGTGTTTATTTTGTTTTGTTGTTATTTATTCCCCCTTTTGTGACAGGTAAAAATTCATTATAAAAAACTGCACTTAATTTCATTAAACTATTTTTGAATGAGCACAAATTCAATCTCGCAAATTTATGGAACAGCTTTCAATATAACCTTCTTTCACCTGAAAAAGATCTTTTTGGGTGGGGGGGGGCTTCTAAAGCCTTTTTAGTCTGCTTAAAGAGATGGTTTTCTAAGTAGCCCAACAAAAACAGTCTTTTTATGAAACATAAACTAAAAAGTAGTTAAATGTAAATGTATTGCAAGGCTCCATATACTCCATCAGGCTTCAAAACCCCATGTCCCCCACAGAGAAAGGCTTGTTATCTTGGGGTGGTGATGAAACAGTGGATAAGACACATGCCTTTGGTGTGAGAGACCCGGGATCAATCCCCCACCTTGACGCACCCACCCTGTATCCCTGGGCCCTGGGCAAGATGCTTTAACCCCCGGTTGCTTCAGACCGAAGTCGCTTTGGATGAAAGTGTCCGCTAAATGAATAAATGTAATCTAATGTGATGAACTTCATCACCTTGTTAGTGATCCCTTTAGCTTTAGCAATGGCCCATCTCGTGCCATCTTATTCGCAGATAGTCAACAAGGCAAATTCCGACAGATACCGATGTTCACTCGATAAATCGGTGCATCCGTACTATATTAACTTGACTATGGTAAAATGTTCTAACCTCTTAAATGCCACTGACCTGACAGTGGTCCAGTCATTACAAACTCATGCTTTGTAGCCAAACATTGTTCAAACTGACTAAAGTTATCTTATATCATAGTGGAAATCACAATGGTTCAAAAGAACGTCAGACTGAACTTTGGGAGGTTTTGCATTAAAACTATTAGCGCAGCTTTTCAGCATGCCTTGGAAAGAATAACTTCTTAATGTTGGTGCCAATTTTAAAACTCAATGTACTGTGTTTATAGAAATGCATTTTATGTGTTTATACTGAATGTTTTACATGCAAAGTACAGCTGTCAGATAAATGAAGAGAACAAAATACAATATTTCCTGTTCAAACTTAGTAAGTACATAGTTTCATATAATAATATCACGTAGGGAACAAATACTACAAAATTGTACAGTGCAGTGCTTGACTTTATTATCAGTTTCCTTGATTGATCATCATTACGGGACATGCTTGTAGCCACAAAAGCAGAAAACAAGTAATGAAACACTAAAAATTGCTGTCATGATGCTAACACTTTGGCCCTGGGAAATGTGTGCAACTTTAGTACTGTGGTATTGTGGTTATTAGCTGTTGGTGTTCGCTCCACAGCACAGTATACACCTGATACATCGCTACCTCAATCTGGTTGATCGGTCTACATTCCTTGGGTCTAGATTGTGTGATTTCTTGCAGTTGTGACTAACTGGCTGACTCATGCAAGAAGACCGGTCTTTGCATCCAGAGTGGTTACATTTCTCTTCAGCAGCCTTGAGTAAAGCTGGTTCTCGGTCTCTGTTGCAGTCATATGCGGTTGTGGTTTATGAGCCACGCGGCCAGCCCATTAAACCCGACGCTCTTTTGTAAAGGTTGTCTGCCTCTTAAACGGTGTCATCTTTATTGATGTGTTTCTCTCTCAGCCCCCCTCCTCTCATGTACAGAAATATGCAATATGGCCCTGGTTTAGATTCAGTTCTCCAACACGAGCTGTTCATTATGGCAGACAGGCCAGCTATAGAGCTATAGCTTCAGAGCAGAAAAAAAAGTTTGTGTGTGGAGGGGCGGTGACTGTCTCAGCATGAAATGATACAGCAAATTAATGTCTTCCTTTCATAGATAGCTACACAACCCCCCAACACACACACACAAAGAAATACACACAGCAGTGGCTCCACACGCCACATCCCGCTTAGCCCTGACAATATAGCAGCTGTAAAAGTGGTTGCCTCTGTGATCGGACGCACAAATCACAGTGGGAGAGATGAGATGGTGCCGTCCCGCCGCTCAGAGAACCAGGGAGGGCCATGGCAGAGGACAAGCTGTCATTCCCCTGCCAAGGAAAAAAAGAGAAGTCACTCCTCTTCTCTAGCTTCCCTCTATGCATCAATGTCATCTTTCAGAGGCCCACTTTCCTGTATATGGCCATTCAGCTAGTCTTTATCTGTAAGAACGGCCATCTAGGTTTGCTCCAGTGTACTTATGATGCTAACCTGCCGTCTAGATTCCGCTCTTATTTGGTTTTGCTTCCACATTATCTTTTATGCTCCTTTCGTGCGGAGTCACCTTTGACATCAATTTCATGTGGTTCATTGAGGGTGGCTTTTCAGAGCTGCGGTGCCAATATAAATGTAATACACTGAGTAATAACTCTGGTTTAAGTATTGATCCTCTGGGATTGCTAGACTGTGTTAAGTACTCCATCTCATCGGCTTCAGTCTTTACATGACAGACAGTGTGTGTATGTCTGGTTATTTTCCGGCGCTTCTGCCTACTTCATGCTGCTCGGTGCATGATCACGACCACACACACATCAAAAGGACTGTGTTTGCTGTGGAGGCGTGAGTAGAGTAAGCTCTCACCATGCTGTTAAAGTCTGTCCCCTACCTCAACACTCCCCAACCCCTCACCCCCCACGTTCCCCAGAGCTGCTAATGACTGCTAATTGTGGCACGGCAGGGAAGTGTTGCTAAAAAACGGATATCACCAGCCTTGCCTGGCAGCACCCCTGCCTGCCGGCTGGGAGGCTGGTGGCCCCTCATTTGTCAACTCCATCTATCAAGAAGTTGCCTCAACTTCTGTGTCAGACGCCTGAAAAACAATGTTTACATCAGTACCGTGATCAACGGGACAATTCACATTTACATTTATTCAACCTACCACAATCAAACAGGCCAGGAGAATTTTTTGTCACTAAACCGGAAATCAGAGCTTCTGGCTTTTATTGACCGTGAATTAAAGTCATGGACAGAATCATTGTCAAAATATTTGTTTTAAAGTTTGCCGCCACAGTGGACGACGAGGACATCCAGCACCGTGTCCTTTCTTTGCAGAGAGGGGAAAAGAAGGGGAGAAGCCAGCCAGACCAAGAGACGTCCAGCAGGGTGAAGATGCTTCCTAAGCTCTCTGCAGCTCTCTGGCCACTATGCTGGACATAGCTGTCACCAATAATCCACACTGCAACTATGAGAGGAAAATTAATTAGTGTAATAAATGCTTCTATGTCACATCTAAAGGAAAAAAATGGAACAAGGCAGCAAAGCCTCAAAATGTCTAGAAAGCAGTCTATATTTTCAGTGTAATATCAGCGGTCTAAAGTGTAGTTTATGCTGTGTGACCATAAACTTCAATTACCACAGTCGCAGAAAAATATTTTTGCTGGATATCATGTACAATGTGTTAAACATAAATAGCTAACCTTAGCCTAGCTCGTCATGTCTGAGTGCACAAATGCACTGCCAGTCCAGCTTCATGCCAAGACAGCTAACGGTTAGCTAAATGTTATAAATGTCATTCTAATAAAGGAGACAGCGATAGACTCTGTGACCTTGCCAACAGTCAATATAAATAATCATTAAATCATGCCGTACAACATTTAAAAGCATTTCAATTGAAATGAGTGACATAACGTCAACTTACCTCCATCTAGCCTGTACATGTAACAACTCCGTCTCCAGTAGAGTTAAGTGTTGGTTGGAGCCGGTCGGATTGTGGGTGTGGCCATGCGGTCAATGCAAACCCATGATTGGTCAATCAAACCCACCAAGAGAATCTCATATTTTGACCATTTTTGACTTTGACTTTTCTGCTTGCAAAACTCTCTCACTTGCAAAAAGGTTTAACCTGCAAAACTTTCTGACTTGCAAGGAAAACATTTTGACTTGCAATCAATGAAGACAAATTAGCAATTAAAACTTTGTTTGTTTTTTAATTACAAACTTGATTTTAATTTCAGTGCGATAAATATGCTCTCAAAACATTTTTTTGCTTGCTTTAAAAAGACACAAAAATACCTAAATAATTTTCTAAAGACTGAAAATAATTTTAGCTTGGGCTTGAAACTTAACATTAAGCCTGCATTACAAAACTGCAGGTGTGGGGTTTGAAAGAAGTGGGCATTTAGGAGGCAAGAGGTTTAATAAAACGACACAATTGAAGTATGGGAACTGTAGGATCCTGTGTTTTTGTATTGTGACCCACCCTAGGCATTAAAAGCTCAGGATATCTTGGATTGCTACAAATCTGTACAGTATTTAAAAATTTTTGTAAAGTAATTTTATTGGGTGGATTTTCTTCTCAACATCAATTGATTTTGACTTTTATTGACCTCTACTATCTATAGATCTCCTAAACACCATGGTTTACGACCCCCACCCTCATTCCCCCTAAATTTTGGTCACCTGTAATTGATACAAACTAATTTTCCTATTACAGATTAAAGCAGGGAATGTCTAATGAAGAAATAATAAATGCCATGATGCAAAATCTAATCATTGTGGCTTTTTTAATTAAAACATGTGTTGTACTGTTTACCAATACTGGGAAGCTTAACATACTAAGTAATTTGAGTCCATCCATAAGCCTCTTTGGATCTTTGAAGAGATGCGAGCTTTGACACAATTTTTTATGACAAACAAGTCACATTAAACTTAGTTTAGAGCCGCTTAAAGCAGTAAATCACTGTTTCTGTCACCAGAAAGTAAAAACGCATCAATATTTACAGGAAACTACCACCAGGCAGATTTAGAATAGCAAATATGGAAACTTCAAGAGCTGGCTACAGTTTAAATCTATGTTGTATATGTGTTTCAATCACCACTAAACAGGAGAAAGTTTGTATGAAAATTATCACTTCTGTCAAGAAGTATATAGATTCACATTTGAGCTTTTTGGCCACAATTGTCTTTGTTCTAATATAATGAACGACATGGGCAAATCATTCCTTCAAAGAGCATCATTAACATCCATTCTTTTCCTTTTTTTTGGGTGGACATAGCGCTGCGGTAATATGTTTGGTGAGTGAAAGTCCTGTCATTCTGCACTCTGTCAGGGCTGGAGGTGTAGCGCACACCCCCGACAGCTTCCTGCTCCCCGACAAATTTTGATGATGTCTGCATGGTGTGATAAATTGTGTACAATATTTCTGTGCTTGCATTTTGGATTGCTGGTGGAGTTGAAAGTAATTTAGATCGCCTCTAAAGTTATTAAGAATCAAGCAGTCATGCTGTGTTTGTTTTTAAGATATCTGAGGTCACCAGAGATGCTGGTTGCTCGTCTTATTTTTTAACCTTTCACAGTCAATTGTTAATCTACATAATTTTCTTTAAAAAGTCTTCCATTCAGTATTCTACAGTATTCTACAGTACCCCGAAGCCACAAGCAACAAACAATTTGGGCTCTTTTTTTTTATGTCAGTGCCCAGGGACAACAGATAAAGTGTTTCTTAATTTCAACTCAACCAGCATTTGATGGGCCAGTTGCCCTCTGTGTAAGTCCACTGTTAAGCTCTGTCCATCCTTTATTCCCAGCACTGCCTCACCTCACCTTCACCAGTCCTTTAAGTCTGTTTCCTTGTGTTTGGCTCAGAGGAAGCCACAGTTGAGCAGGACAAAAGGAGGACATAGCTGTGACAGACAAGCAGGGATATATATTGTCTATATCCTTGGGCGTTCTTGCTGCATTTTCCTGAAGTGTCAATTATAATGCCAGTGGATGAGAGATCAGAAGCCTGTATGCAATCGCGTGATAAATTTCTTTTTCCAACACTGTGGCGTATTTCATTTGGAATGGGATTTGGCTGAGGGGAGAAAGTAATGTTCAGATGAAGTGCCTGACCTGTTTCTTTGTCCTGTGTTAGCTCTCCCATATCGCTCCATCTCTCATTTCAGTAAGGAAATTTCCCTCTTGTTTCAAACCCAATTTTTCCAAAACTCCCTGTGTCAGCAGCAGCCCCTGCATCCGCCCAGTCGAAAGCACAGTGTCCAATTAAACTCTCATATCCATGCAGAAAAGAATCGTTTGTTTCTCTCCCTCACTCCTTCACCCACTCAATCCATCATTAATATTTTTTCCTCCCGTTCTCAATTACCTTTCTCTTTCTCAATTACCGTGCCTTGTTAGAAAAACGGACATGCCTGAGCACAATATTAAATACTAATTAAAACCAAAATGCGGAACACAAATTTAGTTCTCACATCAGCACCTTTTTTTTCATCTTTTTACCGTTTTTTCTCTAAGCGTCCGCCTCCTCTCCCTTTCCCTCTCCCTACAGCAGATGGCTTTGGTCAGAGGTGGACAGGTAACAGAGAACCCTGTAACTCCCACCAGACCACTTGAGCCCTGCCCTGCCCCTTTGTCCCCCCTTTGTCCCCCTCCTTGTCCCGCCACCTACCACCTCCACCCCCCTCGCCTAGCCCTTTGAACACCTCCAGCCCTTTCTGCTCCTCAGTGTCCCCCTCTCCTCTCCTCTGGGCTGTATCTTGTGGGCCAGCTTCCCCCTCGTCCCCCCAGTGGTGCAGGCCTTCTGGACGGAGCAGATGGTAAGAGAGGGCCAGGAGGAGACGTCCTCTAACCTGGGAGCCCAGCCAGACCTGGCCCACAGCGAATGCCTGATGCCTGCCTAATAGACCTGGACTGGGCTTGCAAGAAATCGCCTCACTCCATTTATGTGTGTGTGTGTATATATGTGTGCATATGGCAGTGTATGGTTTTCATGAAGCCAACATTACTGTGTTTTTTTCTGTTGCAGTTAACTGTGTTTTATTTAAACCTCAGAGTTTGTGCATATTTGGCTGTAATAATCCTAGAAAGGCCAAAATACTTACTTACATACTTAATACAGAACAGTTATTCCCAACCAGAGGTACTTGTACCCCAGGGGCAGTGGTGGGGTACAAATACCTGACAAAGTCCCAGGGGCTTAATTCACAAGCTACCACCAGAATATAAGGTCATTAAAATTAGCTCCACCTTTATCAGCTGCAGCATTACAGTGACACATTAATGCATCAATAATTATCATCTAATAGTGTAATATACATTATTCTAAAATGGACCTGTATAATACGTACTTTCACTTTGAGTATTTCTACACTGTATTATTGCTACTTTTTCTTAAGTAAAAGACCTTAGAACTTCTTTCATCATTGCCTTGCCGATATGTGAAAAGTTGTTTAAAAAAACTAATTTGATAAAATATGAAGATTGATGTGGTTATAAAAAATCTAAATAATTTTAAATAGGACTATAAAAACATAAAAACCATTACAAATTGGTGTGATGCTGATCTTGTCACTATAATTAATGAACTACCAGCTTCAATTGGCCAACTGCACAGGACACACCTCTAACCAATCTAAATCAGTTGTCACACCTTTAGACGAACTGATGTTATTGAGAGACGACGAAAACTTACTGAAGGTGCTGGATAAATGTATGAAACATTCAACTTATGCCACTACACGACACAACAAATTTGGCCAATGACAATTCTATGATGACTTTATTTTGTATAAAAGATATTGTAGTGATATCTAGCTTTATGAAAGAAAATCCACTTTTAAATCAATTAAACATTTCTAACATGACATGTTTTTCCTGTAAAGTGACTTAATTAAAGCTGAGAAGTTTTGTGGATGATTTGTGTTGATTTGCATGTGTGTTTTGGACTGCAGTCACACGTAATTAGAAAATATCAAAACAGTTTCTATGGTAACATGCGCATCCGTGGACTGAGGTTGAAGAAGCATGGTGATCCTCCAATTTCTGAGGTCGTATACTGGTGGTGTTTTGATGTTTAATAGGTGTGGTGAGTCTGTCGAGTTCAGAGACTAACTTTGAACTCAACTTTTTCGTAAGACACAAACCCAATCTACACATGTAGGTGAGTTTGATCCCTGTAAGTGCACAATATGATGGATGTGTCAGATTGAGAAATATATTGAGTTGAAAACACGTGTCCCTGAGGAGAGGCATTTTACACTGTAGCTGGTAGAGAACAAATGTCTCTATCAGATCTACCTTGGAGATTTTTCCAATTCTGATAAGCCTTCCATCTGTCTGTCCGCTCTGTAATACTCAAAGATGTAGTTTCAGGACACATTCATTGTAAAAAGACTATATTCAGAAACACTCCCCACTCACTGTTTTTGAAGTGTATTTATGGCTATTCCATAACATTCATTTAAAATTCATTAATACCACAGGGACAAATTCAATGAGCTCAGCCTAGTTTCCCTCATTTGCCCAGCGAGTCCAAACGGATTGTTGTTCTCCCCAGACGCTGCTCCTCTCCAATCTCTTCCTGTTATTAAATATTCAAATCTCCACTGCAATCACTCTGTTTAGTAAACACTCAGGGGACCTCACCAAGACTATTAAAGCAGAGATGATTGCAATGGTTTGTTTTTGTTTAGTTTTGTTCCTTGATAAGGCCGACATGCTAATTGCTAGAGGATTGGTAGTTAATTGTTTGACCGTTGTAGAAATATTTCTATCACCTGACTGGATATAACGTGTAGCTTTCCTCTGCAAGTTTTTCCCTTCTCTTCTTGTTTTTTTTTTTACCCTCTCCCATTTGCATGTCATGTAATATTACATGCACCCACCAAATATACACATACACACTCTCAAAAATTATTTTACACACCCACAACCTTCCTTCTTTGATCTTTTATTCTTAGGTCCTCACCCGCCATCAAATGATTTGGAGGA